TCTTTGAAGTCCAGTGTGTTGACCTCTTATGCCCCTTTCACACCAGCGCTTTTTCAGCTCCGGCTCGGAGCTGGAGCCTGAAAAGCGCCGGTTTTTCCTGTTCACACCGCAGCGGTGCCGGCTCTTAGCTCCGGAATCCGGTTCACTTCCAGCTCCAAAAAATTGTCGGTCTAGAGGCAAGAGCTTCGGAGCTAAGAGGTGGCGTCGCTTACGTCTCTCTTACGTCGAGGCGTGCAGGAAACTAAACCCTCCTCCCCTGAACATGGGTCGACTGTCATGCCTGCCTACAAGCAGTAGTGCTTATAAACACACTTTATAAAGTCAGGCAACACTAACCAGGCTTCGTGTGATTCTGTTTATTTGTACCTTACTTTGACCATCCGTTCACTGTTATTGATCATTGTGGAGAGAGGCAGACGTGTTGTTTTGTATTATAGCAGCTATCGGATGGAATCAATACATGGGCTGCACAGGTTGTCGTGTCCGACTATCACAAGTAGAATCATAATAAAAATACGCCGGTAAAATAAATGTGCCTGTAGAAAACGGTGTATGCCACAATAGGATAGCAATAGCAAGTAGTCAGTTTAGCTTCGGTTGCTATGCTAACATCACCCATTTTATACCAGAGAAACTTTCATAACAGCGTTGTGATACCAAACAGCGTCAATTCAGACTGACACACATTCACTTAGGCTAAGGGGAACTGGGGATATGTATCAGCTGCTTGTGTGAGTCGGACAGTGGCTGCTTCTCAGGTCGATTAAATGAAATCCTTGCTTCCCTCACTTACGTCGTTTCCCTGCGTTTAGTCCCTCCCACCAGGGAAGCATGGAGGGACGCAAGGAAACCACGAGAAGCAGGGAAATGAGTTTTAAGAGCAATGGGACGTCCTTTCCTCCGGAGCGTCACGTGAAGCGACGTCCGTTTGTGATGACGCTGCACAGCTGATCGTCTGACAGCAGCTCTGTCCCCGTTATTTCCACACACCCCCCCCGCCTCTGTTAGTACACATTTACTGACACAAACATTTGTATCATCTGTTGTAGACCCCAATAAATAAAATAAAAATAAGAACTAATTCTCAAAAAAAATAAACGCCATTCTTAAAATTTATAAACGAACAATAGTTTGATTCATATTGATTAGAGTGCACAATAGAAATAAAATAATTGAGAGAAGAAAAAGAGATATGTTATCTATCAAAACCCAGTTAGATTAACATTCATTGGATTGCACACTTTGTTTGTTTGTTTGGATATGTAGTAAATTAACATTTCAATAGCACTTAATGACTGACTGAATGGAAATGACAATAAATGAAAATGTAAAACGAAAAAAGCGATCATGAAAATGTTTCCAAAAAATGAATAAAATGATTTTTGACCACTTTGTTGTTCAGATATATCACATATTTGTAACTAAATGAAACATGAATTGAAACAAAACACGGTATAAACTGAGGAGTGACTCCCGTGAGGTTCAAGTATTTTCTTCACTCTGCTCTCATGTCAAGAAGCATCAGTTCAGTGCATGCACTGCCTCGTCCAATCAGTGAGCGATACACAGTAAGGGGGCGGGGTGAGTATCTGAGGATTTCATCGGAGGATGGTCTGGTGGTTCCTCGGTTATCGCTCCTCCATGATCGCTCCTCGCTCCTCGGTCCTCCGGCAGAAATAAGAGCCATGGGACGGTACTCAAGATGGCGCAGGCAAATCAACTTCCGGTGAGACCGAGGACCGAGGAGCGAGGAAATGAAAATAGTCGACCTGAGAAGCAGCCAGTGAATACTTTAGAGCGGCCGCTGCAGTGTGAGCTAACCGGGAGCTAACGGAGGAGAATAAACTCCCGTGGAAGAGCAGCCAACACTGCTGCAGAAACACATTAATAAACAATGAACCACGGCACTCTGGAGCAAAGTATAAGGTTGGAGAAGTCGTTATTCAATTTATTCTGGCTTCGTGTGATTAAAAGCAACACGATCATCGACCCGACGCAGTTCCCCGTTGTTGTGAGCGTCGTAATGCCGTTGGGGAGCAAATCAGCGATGTAAACGGTGACGTCATGACGCAGCCAGTGTTGCCAACTCCATAGTAAGGAAAGTAGCTATTAGCTGTCCTGGAAGTCGCCAGAAGTCGCTAAATGACGTCATCGCCTAATTTGCATAGGGGAGTACAAAAAACGTTCCCAACCCTTCAAGGATCAAAACTTGAAACCACCGGAGTTAAATCCAGACGACAGTAGAAATGTCTTTGCCTTTTGAGTATGTTTTGGGGTTTTAACATGACAGTTTGGCATAGAAATCCCCCTTACAATAAAGGCAGTATGCCCGTGTGTCATCTCCAATAAATGGCTTCAACCATCCTTTATACTCAGGGTTTGATTCCCACTCCTTTCTGTATTTTTGAGAATACAATTTAGACTGTGCCATGATGTTTAGCTTGTCACAGAGAGGCACACACACAGTGGACGAGGTGATTGAGTGACTGAGGCTGTGTGAGGCAAAGCAAAGGCAGAGAGTGAAGAAACATTTACATTCAACATTTAAATCCCGCTCAAAACCAGGACGGCTTGGCAGTTGGCACATGCGCAATTCATTTGCAGTCTCGACGCGGGGGAGTGTGGTTGTCTCCTCTGCTCTGACTGCAGCTGCGGCCAGACAACTGTCAGTCTGAGCGCATGTGAGTACTATGGGAGGGAGGGAGTCTCTTCCCACAACTGTAAAGGAAAGTAAAACTATACTTACCTTCAAAACCTCTCTTAAAGAGCACCTTCGGGGGAGAGCATTGCAAAACTGGCCCCGGTAATGGTACAAATCTCAACCTGTCGTTCAATGGACAGCTTCCCCCCCCCCCCATCTATGTATATACTCGCATTTTAGACTCTGTTACTAACTGTATATCTGTAGACTTGGTATGTCTTAAATGTCCGGTTAGGATGTATTAGAACGAAATCTAAAATGAAAATTGTAAACAAGCAATCTGTATGTAAAAAAACCACCTGTATGTAAATTGTAAATAAGCTATCTGTATGTCAATAATGTCTTATATGTCTTAAATGACATGATGAATTGAAAATGGGGGACCCTGATGTAAACAAGACGAAAGTCTTTCTCTGGTCTGCATCCCCTTAACAATTGTATGTTTTGAGCTGTACTGTACTGTACCCAATATACAAGCTGTTAATAAACTTTTCAATCAATCAATCAATCAGGCGGGGCTCACGGCAGCACCCGCGGCTCGTTAACTGCAGAACAATACGTGAGTCTCCAAACACCAGAAAAGTCCCATATAACACCATTATAAATCGTTAGATTAGTTGTTAGTCGCTTTTGACACAAATAAGTAGCCGGAGGGTTTGGAAAGCCGCCAAATTTAACGAGAAAATCGCCAAGTTGGCAACACTGGACGCAGCAGCGGCAGCACCAGTCGGGTGCTGGGCGGTGTGAACAGAGCGGGAGCAGAAAAGGGAAACTGGAGCTGAACCAGAAAAGCTCTAGCTCGGAGCTAGAAAGGGAAAAGCGCTAGTTGCCCCTTTCACACCAGCGCTTTTTCAGCTCCGGCTCGGAGCTGGAGCCTGAAATGCGCCGGTTTTCCTGTTCACACCGCAGCGGCGCCGGCTCTTAGTTCCGGAATCCGGTTCACTTCCAGCTCCAAAAAATTGTCGGTCTAGAGGCAAGAGCTTCGGAGCTAAGAGGTGGCGTCGCTTACGTCTCTCTTACGTCGAGGCGTGCAGGAAACTAAACCCTCCTCCCCTGAACATGGGTCGACTGTCATGCCTGCCTACAAGCAGTAGTGCTTATAAACACACTTTATAAAGTCAGGCAACACTAACCAGGCTTCGTGTGATTCTGTTTATTTGTACCTTACTTTGACCATCCGTTCACTGTTATTGATCATTGTGGAGAGAGGCAGACGTTTTGTATTATAGCAGCTATCGGATGGAATCAATACATGGGCTGCACAGGTTGTCGTGTCCGACTATCACAAGTAGAATCATAATAAAAATACGCCGGTAAAATGTGCCTGTAGAAAACGGTTTATGCCACAATAGGATAGCAATAGCAAGTAGTCAGTTTAGCTTCGGTTGCTATGCTAACATCACCCATTTTATACCAGAGAAACTTTCATAACAGCGTTGTGATACCAAACAGCGTCAATTCAGACTGACACACATTCACTTAGGCTAAGGGGAACTGGGGATATGTATCAGCTGCTTGTGTGAGTCGGACAGTGAATACTTTAGAGCGGCCGCTGCAGTGTGAGCTAACCGGGAGCTAACGGAGGAGAATAAACTCCCGTGGAAGAGCAGCCAACACTGCAGCGGTCGGTAAATGTTGCAGAAACACATTAATAAACAATGAACCACGGCACTCTGGAGCAAAGTATAAGGTTGGAGAAGTCGTTATTCAATGTATTCTGGCTTCGTGTGATTAAAAGCAACACGATCATCGACCCGACGCAGTTCCCCGTTGTTGTGAGCGCCGTAATGCCGTTGGGGAGCAAATCAGCGATGTAAACGATGACGTCATGACGCAGCAGCGGCAGCACCAGTCGGGTGCTGGGCGGTGTGAACAGAGCGGGAGCAGAAAAGGGAAACCGGAGCTGAACCAGAAAAGCTCCCGCTCGGAGCTAGAAAGGGAAAAGCGCTGGTGTGAAAGCCGCATTATTCTTGAACCAGTCTATCCTTACCCAGATAAGTATTCTTTAGAAGCTGTAAACTTTATTTTGTGTTATCCTCCATTGTGTCCCAGATTCTAACTTTATATCTTTTAGGTCACAATGAGCTAACTTTAACAATGTCACGAATTTCAATATCATTTTTCTCCATATCAAGCCTGCTTCTCCCAGCATTTGATAATGAGTCTTATCACGGTTGTCGATCAGAGGAGCTAATGCACAGAGATATTATGATCTCTAGAATCACATCACTCATATTTCAACTCAAGTAACAGATTCTTAACCAATCATTAGATTCAGAAACAAAAAAAGCACAATGCATAAAGTGAAAATTGATTTATTTGAAAATATTTCCATTTGAAATCCATCTTGTTTCTTTTATTTACATTATCCCTTTAATGCTTTTATTTGTTCAAGTCTTAGAAGCATTATTCAATATTAATTTTGTAGCATAAAATGTCCAAATACATTTTACTCAAGGCTGCGTAAACATTCAACAGTCTTTTTTCTTTCTTCAGAAATCCAGTTAAAGTACTCCCTGTTCTTACATAAATATTTCAATGATATTTCCAACAACTTCTAATGTTTTCTGTTCAGAACAACGGACAACTAGTGGAGACTGAATGCATGAGGCGAGCAGCAACAGAGTCAATGGATCAATGTACTGCTGATGCAAGAGTCGAGATGAATGCAAGTCCTTCAGAATAGACAATAAGAGTGTAAACCAACCATGGGTGAGTCTGTCTCTCCATACTCTTAGTTTTAGCATATCGGTTCTAACTGTGTTTGTTTTTTAACAGTTTTCCTGGTTTAAGAGGTCGTACCAAGAGAAACGATCTCCAGTGCTGAAAATCTGACTGTCAGCTGATAGTGCTCCTTTACTTCAGTTGCACTGTAGACAATGTCTCTAAGGCCTCGAGTCAGATCCCACCCACATATGTATTTGTTCCTTTCCACACTGCCTTGACACTGAACACATAAACAATACAGGCAAAGTCAAAACAAGAAATGCGAGAACAAATTCATGCCATTCCTGAAAACCCTAAAGATAATAACCTCTTTAAAAATACTCTTATTGTCTTCCTTTTATTTGCTCTTTATAATAACTATTTATTTGAACCGTGCATCCTTATCATCTAAAAAGGTCCCATGAATTTCCCGTGCAGCACATTTACTGACACTGCTTTGAAGGATTAGAGCAGATGCCAGTATGTAGTGTAGTCTTGATGCTTGTTTACTGTTGTCAGTGTTGCTGCGTGTTTTAGGAGAAGGTGGCGGAGAGGATGGCCTCCTGCTGCTGCTGATGGAGGATCCCGATGCCGACAGCAGGCGCGGGCAGAGCCGGGCGGCTCACTAACCGGAGCTGAGAAACAAGATGAGACGGTTACGTGTGTGTCATTTCAGAACCATGATATTGTGTATTTTATTATTTGAATCAGGGCTCACCTTGCAGGCCAGCTGCTTCGCAAACCTTGGGGCTACATACGACCAGGGGCCCATGTTCTGTGGCTCCTCCTGACTCCAAGTAAACTCTGTGTGGCGATTTGTTAAACATTTATTACATTGGAAGTAAAAGAGCACATGGCTCAGTGTTTTCAATAAACATGTGACTGGTTCATTAGTTCAGGGAGTTCTTCTCTTTTCCCCTTTAAAACAAAGAGAAGAGATACTCCATATCCAACTGAAACTGGACTTTCTCTGTGGGTGTTTTTGTGGAGGTGAGAACAACACGATTGAGAGCTGAAGTGAAACCTGAGCTTTCAAATGTCACTTTGTTATAATGAGACCAACACAAAATCCACTCTTGGCAGCCATACAGTAACATGAGGCAAGTGGGAAAGACAAATCTGGTGATCATTTTTCTAAGTTTGATCTCCAATTATTGTGTGTTAGCAAGTTATGTAACAACGTTTCTAAATGTATTTCTAACCTAAAGAAAGACATGGTTAGAGTAAATGGAGGAATAAAACTCACATGGTAGAAAACATGATTTTAGTCCGATATATAAGATATTGTATATTCACTGGTAGTGGTGCACTATATTATTTTGTGGTTGAAATAAGCATTACAACAACAACCAACACAATGACCCTGACCAAAATTAAATTCACCTCATAACATTTTTTTACCTGTTCTCAAGATATAAACACAGAAAAGGAAATGATTTAGATAAGACTAAGGTTTTTTTTAGATATACATGTCGTGAATTTGGGAAATGATTACATCGGCCAATGTTGAAATCCACAAGATGTTGACAGCCTCTAGTTCCTCATGCTCACAAAGTCTTTCTTAACGAAATGAAGCAATCAGTCAGAGAGTGACACTCATTCAGCAACACAGGGTGGACACAATAATAGAAACACCTAACACAATGGGCCGTGCAGTGAAAACCAGTCTGCTGTAGCTCATACTTTAGATTTTTGTTTTAGATGAACGGTTTATTTGTCAGTTATGTTCTCCTCAGGACTGTAATTAAAGTGGAGACTGTCAGACTTCTATTCAAGTCGCTGAATGCCATTCAACTTCCTGTGACTCACAAAGAGAGATGCTGTCGAAATTGTTTTTCTGTCCGAAACTCAAATATAGATGGCTGTATCACATACGGACTCTGGATCCTGAAAGTATCGAAGAAAAAACTCTTTCCATAAAGTATGGAATGATAAAACTGAAATGACTATCATCTATCTATGCTTTTTTTGTATTACAATTAAGAGATTAAGAAAGCACTTTCAGTTCTCATTCATAACACTCCGTTCGATGTCTCACTATGGGATGCGCCTCATCGCGGAGCAAACAGAAGCATCAATCTCATTACGCCAATCCTGATTGGCTGGTGATCTTGAAGTCAACGTCAGGGAATCACCCCCTATAAGTAGCTTGCGCCACGACGCATGCGCCATTCAAACACCTCTTCTCGCTTCAGAGCACATCTCTACAGTAGCCGGACAAGCTTAACGGTCCACAGACTGAACCCAAATCCAAAACATTTCGGTCGACGGGCGCTCGCCGGCTACTCCTGCTTCGCAAGAAGACGGTAATACTAACGCCAGTTAGTAGGGGTGTAACGGTACACGTACCGAAATTATTCGGTACGGGCCCTTCGGTTCGGTACAGGTGTGTACCGAAGTGTACCGAACGAATATAACGTTAAACGTAAAAAATTGAGAACGTGAATAACTTTTTGGAAGTAATCTCAGGTGCTGCATCGCAGCATTCAGAGTAATTTGCTCACATTGGGTTCAACGCGTCATAGAGCGAGCAAGTCATTTCATTGGATGAGAGGCATACTATGAGAGCTGGACAGAGGGATGCGTTCAAATGTAGTCAGTAATTTGAGGAACTGTCAAAAATTAATGGCGAACGCAGATAAAGTTGAGCTCGAAAATCCTCCAGCATCATTGAAGTCTCCGGTTTGGGAACATTTTGGTTTCGCAGTTACGTACAAGGATGAAGGACAAAGACAGGTGGACCGAACCAAAGCTGTTTGTCGGCATTGTTCAACTAAAATTGGTTACGCGGCTGGCAATACATCAAACTTGCACACTCTTTTGAAAAGGCATCACCCGAACGTGAATATCACCGGTACCAAAAGAAAAAAGACTGAAGTGCAAACCTAACTCCCGCTAGCATTTAAGCCTCCACCACTCGCAAAAAGTTCAGACCGAGCCAAAGCTATTACAAACGCCAACTATCCTTATGTTGCCATGTTAGCAAAGCGCTATCTGGCTGTATCTGCTACCTCTGTCCCTAGCGAGAGGGTTTTCTCCACATCAGGAGACATTGTTAGTGCCAGCAGATCTGCCCTTTCGGCAAGCAATGTGGACAAGTTAATTTTTCTTTAAAAAAAACATGAAAATACAATGACAAGCAAGTCCTAATGTCAAACTGGCTGCTTAGGTGCTAGTACAGTACAGTTCAAATACAGATTATTTCAGTTCATCGAAATGCTGCACCTTAATGTTCATTTTATTATATTTTGTATTTATGAGTGAATATTCACAGTTTAATAATAATTAAAAACCCCAAACTAATAGTTTATGTTTTGTGAGTACTAGTACAGTAAAGTTCAAATACAGATTATTTCAGTTCATCGAAATGCTGCACCTTAATGTTTATTTTATTATATTTTGTATTTATTTGAGTGAATACATTATTCACAGTTTAATAATAATAATAAAAATATATATATATGTTTTGTTTTGTGAAAAAAAATTCTACTGTACCGAAAACGTACCGAACCGAACCGTGACCAAAAAACCGAGGTACGTACCGAACCGAAATGTTTGTGAACCCTTACACCCCTAGTATATAGCACTATTTATAGATTGTGTGTACAGTGAGGTTCTTGTAGTGGCTGTGAGTTTGTCCTCTACTGTCTTTTTATTCGTCAAAGTGATATAAGGGCCAGTTATGATAACAATTGTTAAGGGATATAGTCAAGCCCTTCATGCTGACATGTTTTTATTATATTCATAGTGAACACTTGTTTGCCTGCAATACAACAGTGTATTCAAAGACCTGATTAAACATACAGTAATTAACTTTTCCTCAAAGATCTGAATGATATTAAATAAGATGTTCTTATGGCACTAACACAGTCTGTATGGGGGTGGGGGTCTCGCACATACCTTTCGCATTGGGGTATTTTTTTAACTCCTGCTGCAGGGCGTCCAGAGGGAACGGACAGAGCTCCTCCACACGGATCAGTGCTGTGTTCTGATTGGCTGCTGATGTCTCTCTCTGTTTCAGCAGGGCATAGTAATGTTTCCCTGAGCACAGCACCACCTTCTGGACACTGCATGGAAGTACAATGAGATGGGCTTAATGTATGAATCTTCCACAAATCAGCAGTTTTCAATCAAAAGAACAAAGAAACATTGAAAAATGATTAATTGTAATATTTGTTTTTGGCTGTAACCAATAATTTGAGGGTGACATTATATATAATATTGACATTGACATTTTTAAATCAACATTGGATTCAGCTTTTTTTTGCATATTATAGTCTAGTGTTTCGTGCATAACACTGTTTCTGACTTGAGTAATCCAATAGTTCCAGTGTTGTCAAGTCAAAAAAACGTTTAATCATTTCAGAAATTCCGAACTGATGGTGCTTGTCGAACACAAAACAAGAAAAGTGTCTGTATTATCGGGGAACTTTAGCAACAATCCAAACAGGATTTTTCCCATTTGTTAAAGGGCACATTAACATTTAAATTGTGTTTTATGTCTTCAATAATATAAATATTGCTACTTCTGTACCTTGCTGCAGAGACTGAGGTATCACCCAACACTGGTCTGAAGGATGTTCCTGGAGCCAGCTCAGTCAGACTGGACGCTGCGCCCTGTGGAAACAAAACACATTATTCAGATACTTGCATAGAAACATTAGTTTAAAGGATTTGGAAATGTTCTGTTAGCACTCACAGAAAATCGGAGCAGGGTCTTGGGTCCAACCACAATGAGAGGTTTGCGGAAGTTACGGATCATCTGCCTCCTCAGCAGGTGGAAGTACTGAGCGGACGTGGTGGGGTTGACCACAGCCATGTTCACGCGGTCATCATCCACACCCTCCTCTTTACTGTCACACATCTGAGAGACAAAAAGGAGCAGTTAGCACTCATTCAGCTAATGAGTAACATAACACAAACCAACTAACAAGCTGCTAGTAGAACATTCAGTTCAGAAACATCCAGATTTAGAGCTGTAAACCAGTTAACAAATAACAGCAGAGATAGAGCAGTGCTTTGAAATCCTATAGAGCAAGAGTGTCTTAGTCTGTGGAGGTTTTAAAACCAGCAACATTTAAATTACTTGGAATTTTAGAAAAATATAATTGTGTTTTTTGCATACATTTCTGTGGTTGAACACTACTTCTTAAACTCTACTTCCTGCAGTATGCTGCAAAGTGGAACCGTATGACTCCACTATTATCCTACATTTAAGTGCATATCAAATCCAAGTTCTCTTTCAAACTTGGTGTTAACATGGACGTTATTTACAGAAAATTCAAAACTGGTAAGTTGGTTTAACATGGATTACATTCCCGCCACACAGACCTGGAGGAAGCGCTCCATGCGGCAGGAAGAGTGTTCGGGTCCGGCTCCATCGTAGCCGTGAGGCAGCAGGATCACCATCCCACACTGCAGCAGCCACTTCGCTTCACCTGCAGACACAAGAGTTACACAGCTGATGAGGAGAGTTTAAGATAATGAGAGTAAGTGTGACATGTTCATAGCACCAGTGTAGTCAGGAGCTTACCTCCAGTGAGGAAGGTATCGAAGATGATCTGCGCTCCGTTGAAGAAATCTCCAAACTGAGCCTCCCAGATGGGAAGGAGCTTCGGCTGAGCGATGCTCATACCATACTCAAATCCCAGCACCGCCTCCTCAGACAGCGGGCTGTTACACACCTGAACACACACACAAAGACACAAAGTCATCACAATACAACATGAAAGGATAACACATTTTGATACTATTAAAGAATTAAGGTTTTAAATATCTCACGATTAGGACGGATTGTGTTTATCAGGTTTATAAGGCATTTACCTCCAGGAAGCCAGCCTGCTGAGGGCTGATGTGGTTCAGAGGGATGTACATGTCGTTGGTGTCCTGACACACCACCATGGCGTGTCGATGGCTGAACGTTCCTCTTCCCACGTCCTGTCCGCTGATTCTGATATTAAAGCCTGTAACAACAATCATTTAACATTTTCTTCAAATCCAATTTTTGTCACTAATAGAAAGAAATGATTCATATATTTGATCTGATGTGTTTTCTCTGTTACACTGACCCTGGGAGAGGAGCGAGCCGAAAGCCAAAGCCTCTGCTGTCGACCAGTCCAGTTTGTTTCCTTCTTCCAGCTTCTGCAAACGAGCCTGAGTTCACAAAGAAAGAAAAAACCGGAATTGAGCTGCTGCTATTTCAACAAAAGACAATCCAATAGTAACTAGAAAGGTTTGCTCAATAGAGTACAGAACTACACAAAGTCTGTCTCCCTCTCCCCTCACAGTCATCACATTACATTTCAAACAAATAAGAGTTGACCTTTCCCACTCCATTACAGTCAAGGTGTGTAGGTAACAAAGTAAAAAGGGGATTTATTCATCTTGTTTAGTGTTTAGCTTGAGTGGACCATAACATATTGGGCATATCAATCTACAGATGCTCCAGTTCAAAATAAAGGTCAACATTTTCTATGCTTCTCAGTTTTGGAGCTACAAAAAAGGCAGATTTAAAATAGAAAAGGCTTGTGTTTGGACTCGCCAATTGCCTGAAAGTATTTTTCTTCTGAAGCAGTTGTTGTTAACTTCCAGGCGGTTAAGAGAAGTGAACATTCAGGCGTAAATTACGATATAAAACGGTCCAAAAAATAGGCATTTCAAGAATGTTGGATCATTGCAAACACAAGAGGTCTTTAATGCGCATATAGTCGTATAAGTACTGGAGTAAATGAGACATAGCAGCACCTGAACATGGGTCTTCCTCAGGTGGCTGTGGACTTGGATTTCCTCAGGGATGTCCACAGATTTGGCCCCTACGTACTGCAGCAGGGGGACGGGGACGCCCGTGTCCCAGGTGGTGACTTTGGCCTGGGGTTCGCCCAGATCCCCCCAGCGGCCCTGCAGGTTGGTGAGTGTGGGGGTGTACAGGGTCATGTTGGACAGCTTGTCGTTGAGCATGCTGTAGTGTTGGGACTTGATCTCGTCCCGCTCCGCCTCGGTCATCAGACCCTCGGAGATCAGCTTCTCTGAGTAACAGTCAGGGATGCTCTGACGAGTTCTGTGAGGACCGACAATGACACAATGTTTTATTACACAGTATATTTTCAAGAACACGATGTACAAATATACCTGTAAGGAAATAAAACATTTAGTAAATCTACACAAACTATTTAACGAATGCTTGTGGGTTTTACTCAATTTATTAATTAAATAAAAATCATATTAAAATGGCATTTGGAAACAATGAAAACAATAAGCAATGTCCCTTTGTTGAGTTGCTTCTTAGCGAAATGCCCTTTATGTTAGATTTAGCTTCCCTCTGGTCAAGCAGTGATACAGTATATATATTTGTAGGACTTTTATTAAGAAAGGTAAAAACAGTGAGTGAAGCTTATTTCTTTAAGTTGAGCTGAATGAAGCCACTGGTTTAATCATTCATACCTTTACAAGTGTAAGTGTAACTCATAAGCCTCAGCTAGAGAAATGTAGTGCCATATTTAGCTTTGTGCATCCTCATTCTAACACATTGATACAACTCTTAAATGTCTTTGTGTTATATTGTTTGAACACTGTCATTGTTAATGTATCGGTACTTAGATTTTAAAAACACTACTATTACCCATTTTCTAAGTATTTCAATACCTTTCTATACTAGCTAATACCTGCTGAAATATAACAGTTTTATCATCTGCTTAAGAGGCCTTAGAAATACGATGGGTCTTCTACACTAACATCTGAGGTGATATGCGTTGTGATACAAAGTCTTTAAGGCTAATTGAACTGACTTGATGATCTTGTACATGGCCGGGTTGGTGAAGAAGGGCTCGTCCAGCTCGTTGTGGCCCCACTGACGGTAGCAGACCAGGTCCACGATGATGTCCTTCCTGAAAACACGCTGGTAGTCCACAGCCAGCTGAGTGGCCCGCAGCACCTCGTCTGGATCATCGCCGTTCACGTGGATCACAGCACAGTTCACCATCTTACCTGGGGCAAAAAGGTGGGCATTAGCTTCTGATTATAAAAGAATACATGACCTGGTGGAGTCATGTTTTAAAAGTGCATCTTGGGTTTTGACCAAACTTTGCAATTCAAATAGTAGCAAATATTACAAATGTTAATATTTTTTACTGACCGACGTCGCTACAGTACAGAGACGACCTCCCCCTCTCGGACGGAGTGGTGAAACCCACTTGGTTGTTGACGATGAGGTGGATGCTACCACCCACTCTGTAGTGAGGGAGGTTGGAAAGGGTCAGTGTTTCTGGAACGATCCCCTGTCCAGTGAAAGAGCCGTCACCGTGGACCTAGGAGAGGAGGAGAGGGATGGTCTGTACGTTTTAGTAACACTGCAGGAGGGATTATTGATTCAATATTGTACAAGGCCTAGAGGGGTTTGTAACTGTGGACCAGAAGAGCAAAGCAAAGAAGACTTTCAGATGTCTATTATTTAAGTGTCTGTGGACACTTTTTTTCCTCGATGGAACTAATAATCATATGTGACATAAAATAAGTGTTGTTTTTTATATGGGCGTCTAACAGTTATTTAAAGACAGACATGAAAACATTTGAAAACATCCTTGAACATGAGAAATACCCTGTGCAGCCTAACATCTACCAAGGTGTGAAATCCATATCATTTGTTATTTTATTTTTAAAAAATGTGTAATCTGGATTCTGGACGTTGATCTGCAACAAAATCCACGTAGTGAGCATCAACCATGGGCCAAATTGTCTTTGTTTTACGAAGTCTATTGCTTGATAAGAAAGAACAAGGAAGACCTCCCTTTGTGCAACCAATTAAAAATGAAAGCGTTATATAGAAGAATGCATACATGTATGCTCCAATGGCCATGGTATCAACAATTGTGTTTTTTATGGGTTTCAATGGGGACATTTGTACTAAAGGGTCTGAGTGTCTGTATTTTGGTAACATCGTTTATTAGAGACTCACCATTGAAGCTGAGGTTGAACTTCCAACAAACATAAGAAAACAAAATGTACACCATATGCCAAAATGATTGCAAAATGTTAAATTAAAAAGACAAAAATGTCCCTCGTAAGGTACAAGAGTTTAGTGTGTGGTAGTTGTACCTGCAGACAGACAACCTGGTCCCCTGGCTGTGCGTTGTCTTCAGGGGAATAGTCTCCTTCCTGCCTGAGCTGCTGCCTGGCTCGAGTTTTGCCCTGAGCCACGGGGTTGATGGCCTCCAGGTGGGAGGGGTTGGGCAGCATGGTCACATGGACAGGACGCGCAGCTCCGAAATCCAACTCTAATGATGCGGTGAGGTGGGAGAGGACGTCCCCGGTGGCAGAGCACATCTCTGGGAACTCACTGAGGCCGCGCATCTTACGGAACATGAGCTGCAGAGAAAACGTAGTTTGAAGTTACCCTTGTTTACCCTTTGGCAGCAGGCTTTGACTTCCTGTTTACTCGTGCTGCTGATTACAGTGGTGCAAAGTAAACAATCTTATCTTGTCAAGTCACAGATAATTGTACATGTCTCATTAGATGTGCCTGTGTCGTGCAGATTAACCTCTGGAGGGAACTTCAGCAGGCCGGACAGCAGGTTGAGTCGGCCTCTGTGCGGCATGCCGATCACAATGTCAGTGATTCCGCTGAAGGCCGAGTAACGGAATAGCTCGTGGAAGAATCCCATCATGCTCTCTGCTCCTTCTCCTCCATAACGCTTCACAGTAGCAAACTTGGTGGCCAGGAAGTGGTCGAATTCCTACAGTTGGTGAGAGAAAAGTAAAGAAACAGAGGCACAATAAATAAATGACTTTGCTATACGAAAGTAGAGATGATTAATCGGCCGACGGCCAGAATCAGACAATTTCGAGCTTGTTATGCCATCAGTCTAAGAAATTGTAAATGTTCTCAATTACCACTTCCGCACAGGACAAGGGTTCATGTAGAGCAGGGGTTTCAAACTCAAGGCCCGGGGGCCAAATCCAGCCCGCAACTTCATTTTATGTGGCCCACAAGAGCTTGCAAAGAATATATGTTTATTATACGGCTACATGGCGATTTACAGAGGCACGTTGCCCATACATGGAGCACAATGCATCTCAAATTTGACTTTCTCAGAATTTGACTTTTTTCCTTCTAAATGTCACTTATTTTTTTCAAAATGTCACTTCTTTTTATTTTTGATTGTGACTTTTCTTCCAGAATTCCAGGCTTTTCTTTTTAAATCATTTTGTGACATTCTCACTGAAAAGACATGCAATTATTTGCCCTAGACTTCTGCTTTCAGTCGTAGTTAATCATGAAGTTATTATTACCTTATCCGATAATAATCCAATGCAGAATGATGTAATATAATACAATATTTTATATATACGATATATTTATATATCTATTTTTATAGTCTTAAAGTTACAACCGGCCCTTTGAGTGCAACCATAATGCTGATGTGGCCCGCGATGAAATTGAGTTTGACACCCCTGAGAGTGAACAGAAGCACAAATAACATTGGACTTCTGTCACAGCATCACACTTTGGGTCTTTCTTGCTAGATGCCCCAAACAAGTGAGACCCTCTTAGCAACCTTTTTCTTTTTCTTTTTTTTAAAATGGGATCAATTTAGCGACTTATTAAAGGTCACATGTGATGGCCATTTCCACTGATCATAATTCCATTGTTGAGGTATACTAGAATAGATTTACATCGTGCAATTTTCCAAACTCACATTGGTTTCGCATACAGCATCTCTGTAAAGTATGTGTATTCAGCAGTATTCACTCTCTCCACTAAACGGCTCGTTGCAGCTCTTGCCCCCCCCTCTTCCCTGTGAGCACAGTATGCTCCGATTGGTCGGGACCAGTCGGGACGTTGTGAATCGCGCTGAGCTCCGTGGAGGTGTTGTTTCCTTGTTTAGCGATACACAGCGAAACACAGCCAAACTCACCCTGAGCACAAACAAAGTCACAGCCGAAGTAAAAACAATAAGTGTGGCTTCATATTGAGTAAGAAAAAGGTTGATAAACGCTGTGAAAATGGGTCTGCAGAGAGAATTTCGCCGACTGTCTGTTATCAGCCTGCAGCCAGGGAGGAGAAATCAGCAGAGCTGCCTGCACTGAGTGTGTGAGGAAGTCCGTGGATTGGTCAATTTGGACCAATCAGCGGGGGCTTAACGTAACGGCTCCGCGGACGTAACGTAACGGCTCCACGGATTGGTCCATTTCGTTCCGGGGACGACATGACATGTACCCGGAAGAATCAAATGGACAATGACGTATCTCCAACGAGGGGTTTTGGGGAGGTATTTTCTGTGTTAGAGTTTTACTCGCTTTGAGGGTTTTGACTCTGCACACCGTTTACATGCATAAAAACCTTCATAACACACAAGGGGACGGGTAATAACCAAGACATGTCTCCTTTAAGGCCCTCAGAGAAAAAGTGTGAAATATATTCAGAAATCGGCTGCTCTGCCAACAGCCTTGGGTCGCTAACTCCCTAACTCTCAACTACAAAGATATTTGAATATGCTATCAATTGCAGTTATTATGTGAAATAAATATCTTATCTTAATTGGTCACACTTCTACTTCCGTCAGAATATACCCAGAAAAACGTAAATCTACACGAAACATGATTTGATGCAAAGTTTTTTTTAGCCTACCTGAGACTCCAGCATGACCTTGGCCAGCCGCTTCCTCTCCTCAGTGGAGAAACTCTTCTTCTTGAGTTCCTCAAAGCGGTCGGCGAACCACTCCCTCTCCTCCAGGCTGCTCAGCTGGCTGGTCTCCACTGACAGGTGGCCGCAGTACGCTCCTTCCAGGTAAGTCTGCACCTCTTCCACTGAACCCTCTGCTTTGCCAAAATGTCGTAGACCTTCAGAAATACAATAAAGGATTCATGAGAACATCGACAAGTGACTTATGAGCAGAGGAGAGCATTGTTTTGGTGTTTTTCATGCTTCACACCTCAAAGTTAACACATTCAAAGCACCACTGTCTTTGATTCCAACTGTATCTCACTCATGATTATGTTATACTCCCTGGTAAATGGTGAATGCAGATCTTTGATTTGAGTAAAAGTAGCGACATCCCAGAAATTCATGTCAAAGCATTACTTATGCAGAATGAGATATTTCAAAATGCTGATATTTTATTATTGTATTAATTTATGCAACAATGTGCTAATCATTTTAATGTTGCTAAAAGGTGGAGCTTATTTGAAATTGTCTTTAACTACAGTATTAATCTCAGATATGAATTCTAAAAAATACTGTACAATTTATAAATGATTGTACTTTGCATTAATAATCTGAATATGTAAAGTAACTAGTAACTAAAAAGTACAGTATTTCCCTCTTGAATGTTGTCCTGTAAAAGTATAAAGAAACTGGAATGACTCCCATACATTTCCTCTAAATTACACAATAATCGAGTAAATGTATTCCACCACTGAAAGCTTTTAAAAAAGGAGACAAACTTCTGGATGCCTTCTGCAGGACTCCCTGCACGCTGTCCTGTACCTGAGGTGTGGAGTGTTCCTGTGACGGTGTCGGTCAGCATGGTTATCTCCGGGACGCTGTCAGCAACAGGTTTATCGGGCTGTAACGGGTTGATTTTAGCAGCCTTGTGACCATGTGCTCTGTATGCCTCCACCAGACGGGACAGACCATGATCTGCAAGAAAACAGGCCGATAAGTTAGTGAGGTGAAATAGCGACCTCGGCTAACAACAGCAACATCGTCTGATAAACAATGAGACAACTTTAGTGGGAAGGAGGTGGAAGAAGTATTCAGGTGATTTAGTCATTAAAAGGAGCAATACTACAGTGTAGAAATACTAAAATGCTACAAGTAAAAGTTCTGCATGCAAACTTTTACTCAAGTAAGTAAAAAAGTATTAGCATCAAAATATACCTTAAGTACCCAAAGGCAGCATATATTTTAAATCATTGTATTATAGGTTAAAAGGAGAGGCTCAGTTGGACTTTGTTGCAACAGAAGAACAGTTCCATAGTTCTGCTTGTTTGCAGTACATTTTGGGCAATTAAATGCGGATTCCGTCCTGGTCGTGGAACGACGGATCAGCTTCTTACTCTCGCAAGGATCCTGGAGGGGGCCTGGGAGTACGCCTATCCGGTCTACATGTGTTTTGTAGACTTGGAGAAGGCGTATGACCGAGTTCCCAGGGAGTTACTGTGGGAGGTGCTGCGGGAGTATGGGGTGAGGGGGTCTCTACTCAGGGCCATCCAATCTCTGTACTCCCAAAGCGAGAGCTGTGTCCGGCTCCTCAGCAGTAAGTCGGACCCATTTCCGGTGAGGGTTGGCCTCCGCCAGGGCTGCACTTTGTCACCAATCCTGTTTGTAATATACATGGATCGGATTTCGAGGCGTAGTCGTGGGGGAGGGGGTCTGCAGTTCGGTGGACTAAGGATTGCACCACTGCTTTTTGCAGATTATGTGGTTCTAATGGCTTCATTGGTCTGCGACCTTCAGCTCTCACTGGATCGGTTCGCAACCGAGTGTGAAGCGGCTGGGATGAGGATCAGCACCTCCAAATCTGAGGCCATGGTTCTCAGCAGGAAACCGATGGACTGTCCACTCCAAGTAGGGAATGAGTCCTTACCTCAAGTGAAGGAGTTCAAGTATCTCAGGGTCTTGTTCTCGAGTGAGGGAACAATGGAGCGTGAGATGGGCCGGAGAATCGGAGAATCGGAGCAGCGGGAGCGGTACTGCAGTCGCTTTACCGCACCGTTGTGACGAAAAGGGAGCTGAGCCAGAAGGCAAAGCTCTCTGTCTACCGGGCCATTTTCGTTCCTACCCTCACCTATGGTCATGAAGGATGGGTCATGACCGAAAGAACGAGATCGCGGATACAAGCGGCCGAGATGGGTTTTCTCCGCAGGGTGGCTGGTGTCTCCCTTAGGGATAAGGTGAGAAGTTCAGTCATCCGGGAGGGACTCGGAGTTGAGCCGCTCCTCCTTCGCGTCGAAAGGAGCCAGTTGAGGTGGTTCGGGCACCTAATAAGGATGCCACCTGGGCGCCTCCCTAGGGAGGTGTTCCAGGCACGTCCAGCTGGGAAGAGACCAAGGGGTAGACCTAGGACCAGGTGGAGGGATTATATCTCTTCGCTGGCCTGGGAGCGCCTTGGGATCCCCCAGTCAGAGCTGGTTGATGTGACCAGGGAAAATAAAGTTTGGGGCTCTCTGCTGGAACTGCTACATCCGCGACCCGACCACGGATAAGCGGGAGAAGATGGATGGTATTAAGGCAGTGTGAGAAAAAGTTTTTAGAGAGTACTTGTCCATGGACAAGTGAGTTTGGCAATTTACTTGTCCGAATACATTTTTCACTTGTCCAGAATGGACAAAAATTGGGGCCACTGGAATCTTCTTCTTCGTCATCGTATTTTACATTTTCCCACGGTTTTTACGACACCGCTAACGTAAGTGAGCGGTAAGATTTTACTGCATCACACATAGGTTTGGGTATCGTTTGGATTTGAACGATTCTGGTTCTGCTTTTCGATTCCGGTTATTTTCGGTTCTCAATTCCGGTTCTTTGAGAGGGTAAAAATAAGTCAAACTGGGAGAAAAATATATTTATGAAAAGATTAAGTCAAATCTGTATTCCTATTTACAAATCACTTCATACTGTTGAATTTCTTACGGTTATTGAATACAATTATATAAAAATAATCTCTGCATTGTTTAGTTAGTTCTGGTGCAGTTTGAGAATGTACAATTGGCCCAGTCTCCTCTGATGTTACACAACCTGCCTGTGAGACAAAGTCCAACCACACATGTCCAACACATAGGACATAACCTAATAATAATAATAATAATAATGACAAATTAGATGTATAGCCTATAGGCCTAGCGCTTTTCTACAACTCAAATACGCTTACACATGTCCTGCAATACACATGCTGCAGCTGCCCAGCTGCTCACTGTTTGTAAAAGTAAATAAATAGTATTTTCATTTCAATAATGTACCTTCTATACCCTGCTTCATAAACAATACTGACATCCAGTGGCATGCACAGACATTTATAGGGGCAGGTGCTCAAGAGAAAAAAAAAGGGGCACCTTCTGAGTCGTTGTGGCGGTCGCGCCGAAATTGTGCGCTCCGAAATTGTGCGCAAAAATTTGCCGGATAATGGCGGATTTTGTTACGTTTCTTTTTGGTTTTTGGTTACTTTATTTCGGGGTTAGGGTTATGTTATTTAATTCTTATTTTTACCTGATTTTACTGATTTATTATCAACATTTTTATTATTTAACATTTATTTTTATTATTCTAAATGACTTAGGGGGGTCCAATCTGAAGCTAGGGGGGATGAAACCCCCCCCCCCCCCGGGATTGACGCCCCTGGTGGAACCGCCGGCTGCCTTAGTAGTGTGAGATTTATTAAAAGGCACATCTTGTATGTCGTAATTGCATATATATTTATTTCAATAACCATATGCTGTCTGATGCAGATGCCTATCTAAAACAAATCAAATAGTAGGCTTACTAGCTTCTACACGCTGAAGCAACTGTAGTCAGGGATGCAAACTCATCAGGTATGAAAAAGGTGACAAGGATCCGAGCCCCCGACCCCACGGAATATCGGCTTTAAAATGAGGAATAACAGAGGATTTTAGCAGTCAGAACAACTAAAGCAGCAGGTAATAATAACAGAAACGCCAAAGAGTTACATCTAATAGAAATATATAAAAGCATTTATTTAATTGTGTAGCAGTCAGTTTATAATTTTGGCAGCACTGTTGAGCATTTTGAAAATGTATTTTCATGCCTCTTAGTATTTTTATAATACTTTTCTACTTTCACTTGAGGAACATTTTGAATGCAGGACCTTTACTGTAACAGAGTATTCCTACACTGTGGTACTTCTACTTTTACTCAAGTACAAGATCTGAGTACTTCTACTTTTATTAAGTACAAGATCTGAGTATTTCTACTAAAGTACAAGATCTGAATACTTCTACTTTTACTCAAGTACAAGATCTGAGTACTTCTACTACTAACAGCTGTTCACCAGCGGTGCAGTCTGTGCCACAGTGACTCCGCACAGTTAACGAACGTACCGTAGCTCAGAGTCCTGCATCGGGTCGGGTACCCGCGGGTACCCGACGGGTGACCCGCAAAAAAGGTGATTCGCGGGTGGTATTTTTTCAAACGCTTTTTTCCGGGTTCGGTTCTGGGTAAAACAAAGATGATGCGGGTCGGGTCGCGGGTATTGCATAATAAATATATTAAAATAATAATAATTTAGTTTAATGTTTAAATCCTCAGACCTCTCCCCCGCGGGACCGCGCATAATCATAACCTCTGCAGCGCATCAATCTGCTGCTGTGCGCGCCACATTCGAAATGGCTGAGGTGAAGCTCTCTAGCGGAGAATACAGCATTTTCAATAACACTTCCTCAAGAGCGAAATCCAACGTCTGGGAGGCTTTTGGTTCCTAGATGGAGAAAATAACCAACATCCCACGCTTTTTGAGACAAATATGCAACTGCGTGTGTTAATAATTGCACGTTTTCACTGCTCATATATATGCGGGTTCGGGTCGGGTTGGGAATCTTGTGCCGACGGGTCGGGTCGGGTTGCGGAACTAATTGGCAATATGTGCGGGTAGCGGGGCGGGTTCGGTATTGCACGTCGCGGGTGCGGGGCGGGAGCGGGTCTTGAAAATCAGACCCGTGCAGGACTCTGCCGTAGCTATTGTAGCTGACCCTCATCCCGGAGCAGCAGAGTTCAGCCGGCCCGACAGGCAAGAAGACTCGAGCACACAGCTCGCGCTTCATATATTAAAAAATAACACCATGCGCACATAACAGCTCGCGACCGCAGATTATTTCGGCGATTAGATCAAATGTAAATTATATTTGACGCAACTTTAGTTACATTTCCATGACTTTTCCAAAACTTTGGGAAAAATATTGTTTTCCATAACTTTTCCAGGGCCTGGAATTTGCATTTTGAATTTCCATGACTTTTCCAGGTTTTGAATGACCGTACGGTACGAACCCTGTATAGTTTAGTTTGGCATCTGATTTAGGGGATTAAACAATACACTCGTTGTATTTGTTACCTGTTGGTTACTGACTTGGTCGTCACTAGGGCACTTTTAATCGTGTTGCTGCGTGCTGCTGCACCACACACCCGCCGTGGCCTGTCTGACTGAGTGACTGACTTAGTGATGTGTCGGTCGCGAACGAGCCGGCGCAAAGAGCCGGCTCTTTTAAGTGAACGACGGGAGCCGGCTCTCGCCCGCGAACGAGCCATTTTTGCGGAGGGATCTAGATCGGCATGAAGGCACATTTGCAATGTGCACATTATCCCGCTTATTACATGGCCACATTCTCAACAAAGTAACGACATGACTCCCAATAGTAATGGAAATGCTTTTATGGATTTAGAAAATGATTTTATTGATTTAAAAAATAGTTTTATGTATTGATTTAAATTGACATGCATCCGCTAAGAAAAGTAGTCCGTTGTTACTGTTTGAACTAACGTAGCAACGGCAGGAACTGCTTCGATAGTGTTTTTGATTACAGATTTGAAAACATCGTTGCTTGCTTTAAAAGTAGCTCAATTCATTATGTCAAACCTTGGAAAGTATCTAGATATCCCTGCCCTAATGCCAAAGTAACTGGCAACTGAATATG